ATGCGCCTAGTTTTGGTGTCGAAGGATCTAGCTTTTAGGAACCCATGCTGAGAAGTCGATAACAGATTTTTATCCGTCATCCTGGAAATCGCCGACGTAGAATATTTATACGGTAAGTATCCAAATGTGAAGTTGGTCCGGATTTACGAGTGGCAACGGCATAAATGGTTTTCAAGATGGAGGGGTAGCGTGCACTGTTGATTGAAGCGGAAAATAACTTCAGAAGCAACGGAGGTATGTCTTCATCTCACTTTTTAGGGGCAACAGGAGGTATCCCATCCGGAGCATCAGTAAGACGAAGTTTAAGAGAGATAATTGCCACATTACTATTTTAGGAACTCGCCCACTGCAAACCTGACAGACATGAAGGCTAATCACTAATTCTCCGAGCCTGTTATGTGCCTAGGAAACAAAACAGTAGCGTTGTAAATATGCAATGGTAAATTTGCGAGGTCAACACGAAGACCTGAAACAGGTAATCTGGGGAATGGCATTGAGGCACTGATAAAACCAGTCTGCTTTCTCTTCAAGAACTCTGTAGAGTGGAGGTGCGTCATCCTGTCATCCATTTTTGAGGGAGAAGACGAGAAGGCCATGGCAGCCACAGACTGATCCCCATACTCTGTTCGGTAGTGAATGAAAACGATCCGTACTGATAAAACACGTGTATTTAAAAAGTCATATTTTCTTCTTCCTGCCATAACCTGTGGACGCTACTGATATTATGATAGAGTTTAATGTCCTCCCTTTTATACCATTCAGGATGGCTCAAGTGCTGCAGATTTCTGTACAATTACCAATTTGATGATGTCTGTAAACTGACCTCAATTTGAAACCATAATTTGGGAATGAAATATTTGTCGCTTATGGCCAGAAAACGTTTCGACTTTTTTTATAGTCTTCCGAAGATTATCAAATATGATTATGAAGGTACAAATGTGTAGGTTCAATTCTGGTTCTCACACCGTGCCAAGTAAACATTTCAGTAACACCGAGAAGCTTATTCAGGCTACCGCTCGCGACAAGTCTGAATTTTCCTTTAATTTCACCTTTCAGCGAATAAGACATGTGCCGCTTCAGGGAAATTCCGTGAAATTTATTTTTCCAGAAAGGAAGAAAGTGACCACATTTCTGAAGGAGTCACGGATTAGTGGCCCCATTAGGGCATGGCGCCCACCGGAGTCACAGCGCGCTCCCGGGCTGTAAATCCCACAGTAAACTTGGTTTAGTAGGATGTTATCGCGTGAAACCCTTCATCCTAAAGATAACCTCTCAATTTTTGATCAGAAGCACAATCGTAGACTTCGTTTTTGAGACTGGTGGACTCAGCGGCATGAGAGATCCCTACTAACTGTTTTGTACTTAAGATCTGTAAACTGTGGGAGGTCCAAAGTTGGGACTGCATCTAGTCCCTGTGGTACACAGGATGTAAGCAAGGAACCTCCCGCTATCTTAAAGGACACTGGTATCACAGATTGAAAAATTGGTTAGGCTGAAATCGTGCTCCGACGTTTTCCTAGACTTTGATAGGTACTATAACCTTATTAATGATGCAGGGAATAATACACTCAATCCATAAGCTCTCTGTGGCGCTGCTGTGCTATCCGTCGGGCCAGCTACCTGCAAGGGGTTGTATACAGGCGCTCTGTTAGTACTACTGACCACAACGAAATGAACGTCAACGCAGCCTCGGTAACGAACTCCGCCGACTATAGTACTGTAGTCGTCACCAGTGACTTCAACTCACTGCGCTTTCTTTTCGAGACCAATGCAAAACATACTACCAGATTCTTCAGTCAGCATCAGTCCGGAAGGGAAATTACAGTGAGCTGAAATCACTGGCGACGACTGCAGTGTCATAGCCTGTAGAGTTCGTTACCAAGGCTGCGTTGATGTTCATTTCTTTAAGATCAGTAGTACTAACAGGGCATCCATATACAACGCTTAGCAGTTAGCTGACGCAATGGATAATGAAGTAGTGCAATAAAAGCCCGGCAATTAATTGGATTGGGCGGGTTATGTCCCGTGTTGGGGTGGAAAGGTAACGCGTCATGTCTGGTCGCCCAGATGTCTGATGAATAATGATCTCCTTATTGCGGTTGTAGGCGCTCAGATGCAATGGTATTGGTAGTGCAGCAATAGTTTTCTTTCCGATAGCCAGGGAGGCTCTGCGGCCGAAGACAATGGACTCCTTTCCTAGCTGTGACAATGTCACGCTTAAGTCCACGACAGATTAGCTGACGACGGCCTCATAGCCTGAAGACTGGAATCATCTTAAAATAGACTGACGCCCGACAGAGATGAAAGAAACAGTCTTCGTGACCGTCGATTATGGTGTACCGTAAGGTAATAAACTAACCACTGCGAACCTCATGACTAAAGCGCGTGGTAGACAGGCAACGTCAGGTGAAGAAGTGGACACCGTTCGAGTTTCACTCGTCACTCAGAAGACGTGACTTCTTGATCCACAAAAGAATTAGCCTCATACTCAACGTAAGAGTTCATAGCGAAAAGTTCGGAGATCACAAAGCCTGGAAACGAGGCCACGAAGCAACCTATTAAACCTTCACCGCTTTATGTGGAAGAGGAAGCTGACTATTAAGGAAGTTATTTTCATAAAGGCCCCACTACTGGTTTACTAAGCAGTCTAGCAATGGATAAGCTTCTTGGCCAACGCATAGAAGTGAGGCTTCTGACGGTAAATCGGCACCCGTGCGTATCGATAATAGCCAGACCGTAAATAGCAAACACCCTTGGCACATCTCCATCACCTGAAAAATATCTGGAAAGCCACTCAGGCAGTGTCGAAGCAGGTTTCTGAGGTACGAAGACCTGAGACTGGCAATCTAGGGGAATGGCATTGAGGCACTGGTGAAACCAGTCTGCTTTCTCTTCAAGAACTCTGTAGAGTGGAGGTGCGTCATCCTGTCATCCATCTTTGAGGGAGAAGACGAGAAGGCCATGGCAGCCACAGACTGATCCCCATACTCCGTTTACCAACGTATTGGAAAGTCGGGAAGCAGATAAGGCCTAGGAATCCATTAGCAAGAAAGACGTCCTCCATAGTTCTCAGAATGGCCTTCGAAGTGATCATTCATATGTTACCCACTTGCCAATTGCCTGGGACGACTGAAAGTTTAACCCAGGCAGTACAAGACAAGATTGTGACGTTTTTCTAGGACAGACCAAAGCATTTGACAGCGTCAAACATAAAATCCTAAAGCAAAAAATCGTGTTAACAGACATGGACGAACCCCTGCTTTCTTAGCTCGAAGCGTGCTCAGGAGTCAGGCAGTTCTACTTAAAAGCGAAAGAAAAACACTCCAGGTCGGGATTATCAACACTGAAGTGTCTGATGGAGCAACTATAGGGCCCTTTCTGTCCCTGCGGCTCATTAACGATTGTACGTGCAAAATTTCTCATACCATCCTTCTTTTTGCTGACGGCACTAGGGTTTTGAGGATGGTAAATGGAAAAGTCAACTACGGAGTACCCTAAGTGACCTCCGTCAGCAAGGATCCTGGTCTTCAACAAATAACTCGAGTTTAGGTGTGTTAAGCGTGAGAAATGCTGCGCATCAGACTTCATGGGGTGAGGACTGCCGAATCCGAATACGAACTGGGCAACCTTGCTATCCCCAAGGCGTACAAGGTAAAGGACCCGCTAATCAACTCCTGTGTTATGAGAAACATTGGCTGTAATTACAGAGGTATGGAGGTCAGGGCGAAAGATATGTTAAAATTCCTACATAGACAGCTTGGCGCACTCACCGCAAAACTGTTTCTAGCTGTTTCAAAATCCAATGAAAGGCCCGTCCGGAAGTCCTCAATAGGACATCACTTGAGATACTCAAGGGAAAGTTCTCCCTCTTTGAGAATACACAAAGATTCGTCACCAAATCAACTGCAAGTTTAAAGAGAAAAGCTTACTATGACCGAATGAGATCCGTAAACTTATGTACTTCAGGCTATCGAAGAAAGAGAAATGGTCTACGAACCATTTAGCATGCAAGTCAGACGGACAAGCCAACCCCACTTGCAAAATGACGGTAGTCAAGAGAGATCTCCACCACAATGGCACATCCGAGAACCAGTACCGGGCTGAGGCAGAACTTTTTCCTAAAGGGGGTGTGCTGGCCGGGATGCTTTACGCATGGATGCAGTCACAACCCTATCAGCAGACTTATTCAAATGAGGGTTGAGAGGTTATATTTGTTCCTTCAGCTAACCACTGACATTCTCGGAACACTAGTGACCTCAATAGAACAGGACCGCTTTCTTCTTATGGACCACTTCCTCTCCTTTCGCTTTGATGCATATGTATTGACTTTTAGGAATTGTCCTGGTGCGAACTTGACAGGCGCAAAGGCCAGCCACTAATCGTTCGAACCTGTTATGCGCCCACGAATACGAGACCAAGGGAGGATGCGATAGCGTAGTCGGATGGAATAGAATGTTTAGGTGGTTGTGCCAAGATACCGATGCGTCGCAACTAACTGGCTAGACGGTAGATTACCAGCAATGCAACGTAACACGACAGTTTGCCAAGTGGCGAGGATGCTTGACCTCATACCTTCAGCTTAGTGAGTCCAGTTAAACCATGAAGGTCAGCACCTGTGTTGAATCTCGCTGAACCCCAGGCTATTGATTCTGGAGAAGTGTTCTACGCTACAAACTCATAATGCTTCTCAAGTGACTGGACTCTTAGCATCTACTTCTAGCCTTATAGAGCATTCTACGTACCCCTCGCCAACATCCTAATATTCTCAATGTGGCAGGTTTACAGATAAGAGCCACTAGAGACTCCCAATAGTCCCAGCAACCCGTGGCTTCCTGTACAACTCAACTAACAATTTGAAGACAGCAACCCACAAAAGTTCTCTCACCACAGCTAAAAGCAGGAGAGGGAAAGAGATTTCATTTCCCAATGAAGAAGACAGAACAACATGAACCAAGCAGGAATAACTTGTAGTACTGTTCATGGATTTTGGATTTGGATCTATTGAAAACCGGGGAGTTTTGATTTTGTGGCCTTAAAGATGAAGGTCGTTCTCCATAACATTCTGTTCTGATGGAAGCTATAGATGAATCAAGATTGCCATTGGAAATCAGAACGAAGCTAGCAGAACTCGCGATCGAACTTTCTGAAGGTAAATCTACCGCACATGGTTGTTTCTCTTTTTTGTGTGGTTGTTACTTGTATTTGAAAATGAACATAAAGTTTTGATATCCATCTCTTACTATATTTTTGTGCAGACTTTGTAAATTGCAAATATTATTCTGAATTTACCTCAGGTGAACCCACTTACATTTTGATCGCCTCGAGCTTTCAAGGTGTTAACCTGGTAACATAAAAAAGGGTCTTATATTTAAAATATTTGGCAGGGTGTTTGCAAAGTTTGAAATAATTGAGACATGTAGTTTGCTGTTTGCTGTAAATTCTTAGAATCCTTCAGCTGAGAAGTTGACAAACTAGGTGCTTACACTAAAGAGACTGGTACCAGTTTCTTCTGCAGTAAGTCTCAATTTCTGTCTTTACGGATAAGGATAGTGAGGCAGTGACCTATGAGTCATGGAATTAGTTCGAAAACTAGTCCTTGCTAGTGGTAATGCTTTGGAAATCCAAAATCACGCAGAAAGTAGTAGCAGAGGTGCATAGGGCAGTGTTCTGGCAAATAGTTCTAGCGGTTCACAGCTCTGCGATTCGACAATAGGCTTTGAATTTTTTGAATATTCGTAGAGGAGAGAAATAAATAAGTTGAAATCTTAATTATCACTGAATAAATCTTGCGTTAATATGAGATAGCCTATCGTTCTACGTTAAAACAGTGGGGAAAGACGTGATCAATCCAATCTTTCTTTCTAGTAGAGGTTGAAGAGTCCCTTTGTCAGTCTGACTCCTACTCTCTGCACCGCTGTAATATTTCAGCTTCTTATTTAAAACGAACTCGCTGCTTGAATCCTACACCCCACTGCTAGCCTTCATACCACATATTAACGTGTCAAGGTGTATGACAACAAAAAGAAAAACAAAAAAATAAAATTTTCATAACTAAAGGCTGTAAAAGATAATAGGATGAAAAGGAATAAAGCAGATAACGAATTGTTATGTGGAATTTGTGCTGAGGATAAGATGTTTTTCAACCTCCAGCAGTGGGATCCATAACGGGCTACATAACCTAGAATTTGGCTTTGGTTAAAACTCATTCCGCTACCAAATCGTCATTGTGTAGTAGGATGGAAATTCCACACCTCTCTAATCTCCAGCCTGTAGACAGCCCAGATAATCAATTATTAGCAGCCTCTGGTACGCTATGCACACAGACGGACACAATGGCGTCGATTCAAGTCAGCACTTCACAGTAGTATGCATCACCGATGATCTCCAAACACTGATTCGAATCAGGTGGTCTACGTCTTCTCTTGCGGCTCATACCAACAGTCAAAGATTGTATGAATTGGTTACAGGATTTTGATCTGCTCGCCCTTAGCCTTCTAACCAGATGGTACCTTGGGTAACATTGCACTTGATGTAGCTAGTGATTCGGTACGTGCAAAGTGTGGAATTAACTTCAGTGAAGAATCACAGCTTCATCTATTGGCTTATCGTCCTTGCCCAGTACCTTCTGCCTAAGTTCGCCACTGGTCGCATGGTGATTCCACCAAATGTGAACAATACCACAATGATAATAATGGTCAGACGATTATAATCTCACATTTACTTTCAACAGTAACGTATCACAGGCGTATAGTAGGTCAAAACAGACTATAGTCTAGTATACTATTTCTTTAATTAATAGTCCGGTATTAAAAATGGCGTAAGGTGAAGAAAGCCGAATAAGCCTTACGTATCTGAGCTCAAAGTTGAGTGGTAACCAATACGTTCGAGCTGATGGAACTACTCAAGTAGTTGGAGTGGTCGATATATCGTACTACTTCTTGGTTGTATTGTGTTCTCTGAGCTGGGTTGTTTAATCTTGAAGCTTTCATCGTCCTTCTAGACGACATCATCAGCCCTTTTTACTACTTCACTCACTGCAAACTAGAATTTAGTGCAAACCATCAACGTCAACCTAGAACCAAAAAATACTGCATAACGGTTCAAATTGCCAAATTTCGTATCATCACATCAAATAATAAAGCAATAAGATTAAATATGAGGAAGAAGAATCGATCAAAAGTGGTAGAAATCAGTGGAAGAAAGGATGAGAAAATGCCCAATTCAGCATAACGATTAAGGACTATATTTGGATAGATCTGTGTTACTGATACCGATTCTGAACCGTACCACCTAGTCTCCAACCACTGCTTTCTGTCGTCCCATGGACCCCCAAACACGTAGTCTACATTGTCCTACACGGCAGTCAAATACTTCGTGCACTGGTGTCATGTTTTAGTCTGGCCGCCCCGTACCCCTTTTATAACCTGAACCTACTTCAGCTAACTGCGCGACGAGGTAATCGGGGACTAGGCATGTGTAACACGTGTCCCAACCGCCTCAGCCGATGAAGGTTCATAACCGCACCAACTGATTTTCCCGTTCCTTAAAACTCTTCACCTGATTTCTGCATTATTGACGTGGTGATGCCATGATATGGCCTACTCTGCAAAGGCAACAGTGGCCGAACACCCGAAATCTTCTGTCTACCATTAGTGGTCATGTTTCATAGTCATAATGAAACACAGCGAACTTCAGCGCAGTACACTCAACCCTTAGTAGACAGCCAGATATCATGGCGGCACCACACATGGTGTAAGTTGGCGAAAGCCAACCGAGGCTTTTGTATCCGTACTGAGACTTCGTCGACCACTGAGCCACCAGGGTTGATCCGACTACCTAGTTATGTTGTACTTGACGAACTCAACTGCGTCACACTGTATTGTTAACCGGACACCGTTGAAAACCAGTCCTAGAACAACAACTTGCATTTTGATGACGAGAAACGCATCCGAAACATCCTGAATTTGTAACTCAATGTGTCCAGAAGACTGCAACTTTTCAGCAACTTCACCTAACAGGACCATGTCATCTGCGTACTCTAGGTCTACCAAAGATTTTTTGTGACAAGATTAACCCCTTTGAAGTGAGACGAGAAGAGAATAACCTCCATGAAAACGTCTATAATAAAATTGGGTAGGAGTAGTGAGAGTGGACATCCTTGATGGACACCACTCAATGTACAGATTTCATCTTGTATCTCTCCATAGACTAACATGCTCACAGGTGTTCGAGTAAAGAGCCTTCAACAGAATGATGTACGTACTCGGTACCCTTTTCATGAGAGACATTACCATAAGACCTTCTGATCGATGGAGTCAAATGGCGACTTCATGTCGAGAAATACTGCTATTGTCGGGCGTTGGTAAGTACCCTTGTGTTCGATAACCTGGTGGAGTGAAAACGTCTTGTCGATATATCGATGACCAGGTTTGAGGCCTGCCAGGTTTCCTCGGATGTACTGTTCATCGGCTCCGCTGAGACATCTAATGATAATAGAAAGTAGAATCTAAGAGACTATGTTCGTCATAATGATTCTCCCGTGGTTATCACAATTGGACTTCTCGCCTTACTTGTTAAGAGCAGTCAGAAATCATACCTGACTCCAACGTATTAGTTAACACTTCAGTTAGTGTGACCAATAACGTTCTACCACCGTCCTCTGGAACTAGTCTGTCTAGTCCTGCTGCTGTTCCTCGTTTCAGGTTACCTACAACTTTCTCGACTTCTACAATTGTTGTGGGTCATATCTCGATGATCTATTATTTATCCGACCTGATAGCTGACAATGCAATAATGACTGGAAGCTAGTTGAACTGTTCCTCGAAGTATTCCACCCATCGTTTTAGTTGGCTCCCCTGCTTGGGAATCAGACTCATCCTTTTTTCCTACAGTCTCACTAATCACTGACCTTTTCGCCCTTGTTTCCTTGATGTTTCAATTACTGTCTACTGTTACCTGTCGCCGCTGCCTTTCTTATTTCCGTAGCCTCAGACCATACTTGATGGATCATAGTATATTTAATACATGGGAAATGCATGTCAAAGAAACTCCAACTTCTGCTCAAGGTGTTCATGAGAATTCATTTTGTCGGCATTTTCTCCTTGTAAGTCAGTGTTGTCCGTCTACCACAAGTCAGCCAAGTGTTCTTATTGGGGCAAATCAATCCCTGGGAAGTTCGAGATACCCACGGTTATATCCGTTAACACTTCTGTAACGAGGCTGTAACAAATGATGGTACTATATGTCCCAACTGAACTACGGTACTTTTTCTTACTTCAGAAGATTGATCTCTGAGAAATCTTACACGGCTACCTGAGTTCACGTAGAAAACCCTGTTGAGCATTACATGCTTGCTCGGTACTCTCTGTGCAGTCAGATATTACCACAACTCTCAATCAGTGGAGTTGGATGATGCATTCAGGTCGAGAAATATAGTAAGTATAGAGTGCCACCGAGTATATTTGTGCTGGGTCGATGCTCCCTCGCCCAGGTCTGGAATTTGCCGATATCTGTGTCCCATTGAAATCCGGGTTGGATGTCATGTAATCGAAGTGTTGCTGTAGGCCAGTTGACCTGTGTTTCAAAGTATTTCACGTACTGTCGTAGCCGTATATGGTGGGTGGTTATCATGGTCTTATACTTCTCAGTGATGGTCTCACTAACCATCGTCTTCTGCTAGTATCCTTAATAAGTCTAGACAACTACCTAGTATTACTTGGTCGTGTTTTTTCCCTCTCTATCCGTTTCGCCATCCGCTACCGGTCACGATCATTGAGAAAACCTTATCAATTTTCGCTTAACCTCCTTTCATCACACATCATAGTCAGAGCTTATTGGAATGAACCGTCTTTCGTTAATTAGTCGGGATGACGTTGCTGAAATCTCTAACGTTTGCCAACCTTTACCACTGTTTCTACACCAGACTTAATATCATTCCAGGTTTCCTCAGGATAAGGATTACTGTTACGTTCAGACAAACGTTTAACTTTTCCCTTCCTAAATGCATACTTCACGTTCTCACCTTTTAATCAAGCATACAGAGACCTCACTCTCATCTTTTTCCTATGAGTAGTAGGGCGTAGAATTAAACATGCGCGCTTACTAACACTTGATTGGAAATCAAACAGATACTCCAGAACGCGTGGTTGTCTTCCACAAACCCTGTCCAACGATTTGTTATAGCAATACAATTTTTGTCCATCCTTGACGTCAGTGGCTTCAAGTGAGATTTTAAGTCTCTCCCTCTACTCCAAGTTTAGTGCTGGTGAGAAACAAGTCATTATCTGAACAAAATTGCAACTGACGATCACCGTCGTCAGTTCCTTAGTATGGAATACCGTAGAAACCGTAGGATGTCTTTCCGATTTACTCAGCTTTCCTAATTGAGCACCCGCTAGTATGACTATGTGAATGCTTTTCTTTATGTATCGTAATCGATAGTTTTCAATGGAATTCATCCTTTGTATTATCTGAACTGCAGTTGTTGGCTGCGTAGGGAGAGACTAAGAATAGATATCAACGAGTGTTATGATCTTTTGCGGTTCTTAAAGATTTGTTCATCTGGACAGCGCAGTCAGTCAACAGTTGATTGGTATCCCGTCTAGAATTGTGCGTTTCGCCCTGAAGCTTCTATCTACACCTACGCCAAAGAGTTCACTGGAGCTTCCCATTAAATATTCGGACATTTGTAAAGTGAATTTTGCAAATTCGTCACACCGATCACTTGAGGTCAATTGAAAAACTATATTTGGATCATTTACACATGTCTCAGAAACAAAGCATTCATCCATGGCTCAAGATTCCAGAATTCTTGCTAGAAATACATATTGTCCGATTTGTCCATAGTGTTGGGTTGTTTAAAGTTTCAATCTGAAACTAGCAGCATGGTTTATGAGAATAAGAATTATGTTTGGCTGACTTAAATCGTTAGCAATAGTTGTAGAATGGGAATGCAAGGTAGGAAACAAATGTAAGGAGGTTATGCTATGGCTAGCTGGGTTTTCCATGTAGATGGGGTAGTTCGTACTTCCCAGCCGCCCAAACCGTGGAAGTTGTTTCTGCTAAATATTATAAGAAGGAGGGGTTAGTTTTATGTGACCGCAGGGGACATTTGCCTAAGGTCATACACACATGGTTTTTATATTAGTTTGAGGTCTCAATTTTTCTTGATCACGCCTAGAAAACTCACTGCAGTGTAGAGAAAATATGTGCTGTATTGGAGACCGACCTTCTCTAATCCCGCTTTCTCATAGGAAAGATAGCACTAATATGGACTGCTGGTTATCCGAGGCAAAAACTTTACTACTGTCAACCGCTGTCCAGCTAGCAGTATGACCTCACCCTCAGATCTCAATCATTAGGACTTTGGTTACACTGGAATGCTTGCTCCTTTTTTGTCTTATCACTGGCCAGCAAACGTCTCTCGTATAGTAGGATTCCCAGAGCATATATTCCTACCAGTGTGATTCTTCTGGTCTTTGCGATGTGCAAACCTGAACAAGTTAAGGTAGCAGATGTGCTTTAGTAGCTACGTGAAAGTTCATACGCTCTTGTCTACTCACTTGTTCCTTGCATGTTGCTATGAGGTCTAACATTTTGAACCAATGCACTTCTGTGGAAGGTTTTACATTAATTATGTCTGTCTATTTATAGGAACGTGCATAGCATTTCGATAGCGGATGTGGGATATAGGGAAACTTTTCAAAGATCAGGAAGTAAACACCAGAACAGTTGGATATGGAAAAATCTATTGCAAGCCACAGTATAATTGCTGAGGCTCCGTAAATATTAAGTAGCTATCGTCACTCTAAAGTACTAATATATTACTTTTTCGATATACTGCATTAAAAGAAGTAGTAGACCTACTAAGATAGTAACAACTATTTTGGTGAACATGTATCGGAAGACGTGACAGGCAATGGTTGTAGTCTATCACCTAGAAGTGAACTATTCGAAGTTGATACACTCCGAAAGGGTGGAAACGAGGAAATTAAGATAAATTAGAAAGGAGCCTGCATCAGTCATGATTAGCGTATAAATCGAAGGAAATAGTTGCTAGAAAGTAAAGAAGTATTCAAGATTTTAGGGAGGACAGGAAATGAACATATCTACTTCCTCTCAGTCAGTTTGAGTTTTCATACACTTTCGCTTCAGAAGGTAACAGGACTAATCAGATGCAAGTGTTTGTTCCAACATTTCAGCCATCTATTCCAAAGGTTTACCTGTCTTTGTCAGCATTATTTTCTTAGTGTTTAGCTTTTCCGTTTCATATTTAATCAAGTTAAACATATATTGAAAATTATTTAGTTCTGATATAGTATGGAAAATACTTGAACCCTGATGTATCGAAAATATGGCAAAAAAAAGTTATAAATAACTTAAGGATTATGGGTACTTTATCATTATCAACATCGTCGTAGAGAGTGTGAATTGTTGCAAACTTATTGCTCACATGTTTGAACTTTTATTGCATTTTTATTAAGAAGGCTTTGATATCGAGAAAATGTCGTGAGTACCCCATGAAACAGTTTAAAATTCCTTCTAACTCATGATGCTTGAGCTGTGAGTATTTCCAGTCGTTGATTTTCATACGGATGTTGAGAGTAACTTATTGTAGTGATTCGTGTGTGTGCATAGCAGAACTTCTGTTGGATTCTAGTTTAATTTTACCAAATTTCAATGAATCCCTTCACATTCGTGTTTGCCTAGTGGAGAAAATTATCTAATGCTGTTACTCCATTTCTAATATTTGTTCGAGACTTAAGGTGTAAGCGTAAGTTCTGTGGTGTAGCGTATTGCATTTTTCACAATAAACCGTAAAATGAAATGCTTTCCAGTTTTACACTGACTAGAATCGGGCTTATTTGTTTGTAATTTTAGCGGATAATGGTGCTGTTTTTACTTTCTATGATTTTAGGTGACATAACCGAGAAAGGATACCAGAAGAAGAAACAGAAGCTGTTAGCTCCATTTATTAGCGGTGCTGGTGAGTTGTGTTCTTTGGTACAGCATTTCTTCATTTTTCCTGACCAGTTAAATCGCGCTGACTGTTAAGCTACCGCTCATTTTTTTGTATTCGACCAATGGATTACAGATCATCATCTTATCTCGGCTGATAAAATTTGGGGAGTTAAGTATTGCTATTATTCGTTGTAGAGTGTTCTCAACTCATAGTTGACTAAACTTACTCGTGCATACCTGAGAAGTTGTGTTAGTATTATCTTTTTGTACTTTGAACGCAACAACATATGGTAGGCGATGAAAGTTGTAAGATATGTATATTTTGATGAAACAGTGACTAACTCCCGGTTAACCACCTTTTGCAGGTCTTATTCTTCTTTCTGGTCGTCAGTCCGTAACTAATTGTTTTGTCTAAATTTATGATTGTATATATGGAATATAACTATTACGCTAACATCCAGAATTCATTATCGGCATACTTTCTAATTAGATTACCTGTAATGGTATTTTCACCATGGTTTATATGGATCGGAATGCAGACAAACAGAAAAAATCAATGTACAACCTTGCACACAATTACATCGGTTCAAGTTGCCACACTTCATAGTAGTGTACAAAGAGCAAGTGGATAGAAAAGAGTGATATCAAAGTAGACAAAGTTGTGTGAAAGTATGAACAATAATCTTAAGATAAAGGTTAGTGCAGACATTCAAGCTTTAGAAGACGTCAAGGAGTGAATCTGTCTGCGTCATTGTGACTGATTTTCCTCCATATCACCAAAAGTCCTCAATAACTGATTTCTGTCGTCTCGGGGACTCCAGACAGGTAGTCTACATCTCTCAAGACAAGCAGTCAAGGACTTCATGGACTAGTGCCATGTCTTGGTCTAGCTAACCTAAACTCTCTTCCAATCTAATCCAGCTTCCGCTAGGATGACACGTCAAGGTAGATGGTGACTTGGCATGCGCAAGACATGCATAGCTATGTTGAATAGGCTGAGGTGAAATGTGAGGGTCTTGACGTGTATCTTAAAATGTGTGTACTGAGTAACAAGTTATGCATTTCCCGATTCTTAATTGACTCCATTTTGGCTCATTTCTTGCCGCTTATTTTACGTAAATTTCATGTTTAAAGTAGGTTCTATCGCTACCGCTTTCATATTGGGCTGTTCATTGAATGCAGAATGTAGTAAAACAGTATTGCTTGCTGAATGGCATTTCGAACATAATTTATTGCTCAGTCATATTAAAGTATTAATCATAGGACTCTCAAACTTCACTTATGTGTTCTAACAGCTCTTCATTCTTTTATTTCAGTGGTGGTGAAATTTTCCAAACGTATTCAGTGTGTGATGAGTCATTCTTGTCACATGTATGCACTGACCCATAGGACGGGATGGGGTATTAATTCTAAAATCTGATGTAACTCGGTGGAGGTAGAGAATGATTAAAAGATGTTCGTTCATTGAAGCGACATCTAACATATGTAACAGAAATGATTCATCACACTGCATATATTTGGGACGTTTCACTACAATTGAGGAACTGTTAGAATACTTAAGGAAGTGTGAAAGTTGTATGATTACTTTAATAGGATTGGAAGCAGCAAATTCTAGTCCTACCGTCGCCCAGTAAATAATATTGTTTTAGTGTGTTCTTTATCATATGAACAATCTAATATGGAAGTATACTCTACCATAGTGTCCAATTTTTACTCCCATATCAATAGGTTTTACTACTACCAATCAGTGTCAAGGTATCATACTATTGCTTTGGAAAGAGAATGCAACTCAGGTGTATTATGTCATGGTTCACATATTATGTATAGATTGTACAAAACTTGATCGGTAAATCGAGGTTTAAGTGCATAAACCGATTGGCTAAGAATCACGAGTTTCACTTAATCATCTACTGCTTCACTATTTGCACATTACTACGCTAAATATATTTTGTTGGAGTTTCTTAAGTTAAAGTAGTCAATGTCGTCAAAGATGACGTGATTTTTGAAATGTCATCATGTTTTCATTATACTTAATTATCGTTAAAATAGCTGGTTTATAACCATTTTTCTATGTATTGTGTTAATTTATTTAGGCACCTCAATAAACCCACCTAATAGCTCACATATTCCCTGTGGTGGTATTTTCCTACCTGGACTTAGTGAGATTTCTCATAATATAGCTTCACGTGCTCCTACTGGTGGTTGTGGTGATGTCACAGAGTCTTTCATAAACGAGACTCACAATAATTCACCTATTAATGCTCAAAACCGCAGATATATACGTGAAAATCATAGATATCGTTCTGGTAAGCTTCGTATTTTGAGCACTAATTTTCTGAGTATTTTTCGCACATAGAAGCAATATTTTGCCACACTATGAATGTGTCACTGATTGGTGATCTTAATAGATCTTTTTCGATACCTTAGACTAAATTTATTTCTTTGTAGTTGACTTTCAAAATTTCAGTAATTGTGTATAGCTTAAAAGCAGGTATCTCGCGTCACACGAATGTAAAGTGATGCAACTCACCAGATTATTACTGCTTTATTTACTGAACTATGAATCATATTTAGTGTGTGACAACTTGTGATACTGTCTGATCGTTTATTTCGAAGTACGGTTGAAACTTGGGACTCAGTGTTCGAATGTTCGTTTAGCTGACCAATAAACTGATTTTGTAAAAGCTGTACATCAATTTTATTCCACTTAGGTTTTGTAATTCTTTGAGGAATAAGTTAAGCAAGGATTATGTTAAAGGAGGAAAGGATAATGCTGTAAATACTAGACTGAGAATTTTAACGCATTGTGTGTTTAGAAACAGTGAAGAGCAGAGTAATCATCGCTCTCGTTGATGATGTGATATACGGTTAGTATTACCGATATTTCGTGTAACAGTGACTGACAAAATCAACGTAAAACTCCACAAATAGGTGTACGGACTCAAATTGCCACACTTCACAGTAGTATATCAAGAACAGATGGATGGAAAAAGAGTGATATCAAAGTTGTGTGAGAGAATGAACAATTTGAAGACAAAGGTTAGTCCGGATATTCGTCAAGGAGTGAATCTATCTGCTCCATTTGATCGATTTTCCTCCATATCACCAAGAGTCCTCAACCACTGATTTCTGTCGTCTCGAGGAACCCAATCAGGCAATCTATATCTTGTATCTAATCAAGGTACGATGAATGAAAAAGTAATTGCACTGAAAGGTTACATCTTACCCCTCTCCCATTATTTACTTGCTATTCTATTTATTTTGAAATATAACAGTACGGGTCCGTATTAGTCAAACGGTCGTCAGTAGTCATAAATAGCAAGCAAAAGTCTCATCTTGTTCTTCTTTTTTGCGTGAAAATGCGCCTCCTTAGTTTACACATCCTACTTTTAGCCAGTGGGTTATCGGTTTAACTTTTGCACCACCTACCGAAGTTTGGGCGGTCAAGTAGTATCATTAGCCCTTATACAATGGATGTAGCGTATTGTCAATTGCATGGACATGCACCTGGGTGTCGAGGATTTAGTTTTAGTGTCTAGTTCACTTCTCAGTATTCCCGACCGAGTCTTGTTACTAGCTAGTTTTATTAATATGTGTATCTAAAAATTATAGATGGAAAATTTATCAAACCTGACTCTCACTCTGACTGACTTCATTTATGACGTTAATCAATTCTGAGCGAATAAAATTAGATGTTTGTATCAATGGGAAATAAAATGAGGTTAGGACTGAATCATTATTCTTTTCAATGGCACAGTTTTGTCATTTCTAAACTGTTCGCAATAGATAGTTTCCAATAGGTGTGTACTGCGTGGATGCATCTATTCCTTAAGGAAACCTTTTATGAATACAAGGTGACTTTGTGCACAACCTTCGCTTTACGTTTTCGATCAGCAATTAAGATATTTGGGAATGTTTTAAAGTTTCCTGACTTCACTTACTAGGTCCTCGATATCATCTTCACGTTGAACATTTTCAGATATCCGAGAAGAAGCTGTGAAGGAGGCGCTTGTACACGCTCGACAAGAACGTCATGATGCTTTAGCACCTAGTAAACGATCTGACCCCAACCGGTTATCATACTTGAATCAGCCTCGTGAACGTGATGTTCCAGGTAAATATATACATGTACCGTTGCGTGATACTTATGTCATTTTTAACTTTGGAGTTTGAATTTGTTTGCCGTAAAAATAGATAATAGGACTTTAAGTCTGGAGGACTCTTCGCATACCGCAATCGTCTCTATAAGAGTCTAATCGCGCAGTAAAATATAATGAAAGCAACATATCTCCTAAACATTGAGTCAAATTTCAGTAGCTAGTATTCTTATTTGAGCTGATTGATGACACGTTAAGACTTTGAGAGATGCGTTTGTTTCTTTCACTGAAATGTAATACTTTGCTTCGTTTCGTTACGAACTCCAATCTCGTTTTTACTGTCGAATTACGCCTCATAGTCCACTCTGTGAAACTAAATGTTGCCGATAGGTTGTAATGGTAATGTCATTGGAAATAATGTTGGTGTTTATGTACTATATAATTAGTTAAATGTATTGTACGAGGGCTTATGGTTCTACTGGTGTTTACCCAGACTGAAGTAGGGGAGGTGGGATCTACTGATGCAAATATCGTGTTACCCTTTTATTAAAAAATATGTATGAGATGCTTCCGAAGTGGTCATTGGGAATAACAGGTTGATTCTGGTTGAAAAACTCCGTTACTTATGCTCGATCCGGTGGTGATCTGTAGATGTAATTATACGTATGGCTCTACTACAACCATACTTTTGTGAGTATGAAGCCCATACTTAATCGTATTGAACTGTATAAAAAGTAGTTATAAACATACGAGGTATTCGTGGACAAAACCGCCAGAAAAGTTAATCGCCTTGTTTTCTATCTCCTTGGGGATGATGGTTGGTAATAAACCGGACTTAAATTATGACTGCTCACTACTGACGGTAAGGGGACAGTTTTAGTTGAACTTTAAACGTTTATTTATTTGTAAGTTACTTCCAATCTCATTTAATTTGCATAACAGTATATGCTTTGTAAAACAGTACCGTATACTTAAGCGTGATTCATAAGAGAATGTAAATGTTTACGCACATGTGAATGCGTATCACATATTACCGAACGTATCATTTTTCAACTCTATGGCATAAGTTTTGTTTTTGTTGAACTAAAACCCACTTTATGTCTTGTTATGAGTATACGCATGCGCATTTCGCACGCATTTTGTGTTATCTATCGGAAAGCAAACTTTTTGGAATCATTTTGATGGAAATTTGATAAGTTTCAGGAAAAACGGTTGTTTGTGTGTGTCGATATATGCTCACTCGACACAACCCAACAGAGGTCGAGCAATTCGACCCTGTATAACAACAGGAAATTACAAATATATCAACAACTGATACCCGTTGCAGAAGAGGTGGCTATTGTGCCCCAGTAACTTAGTGGATAACGCTTTGGGGTCTGAAGCGATGGGTACTGGGTCCGAGTCTCAATGGGAACAACATCACGCACTGGGTGCAAGTACATCCAGCTGACGAGTCCTAAATTGGACGAAACGCACATTCTGGATTCCACTACAAGTTACCAAGATAAATGTGATGCAACCCACCTACTTAACAACAGCATACTTCCGATAAAGATGAATATTTTGTATAGTTTCATTGGTTTTTATCATCAATTAAATTGTAGAAATAGAGTGGTCTGCTTTCCATGAGTAAAACAGTAAGCAAATTAAGTTGAAATGACATTTCTTCTTTCTAAATATACATTACAAACGGTTTTTGTGCGATGTCAGTAACCGGTATGTTGCCATGTGAGCTTAATGTGAAACTTAAAAATATTGGGTGACTTTAAAGGCCACCTTAGCAACTGATGAGACAGCCAATTACATTCAATTATTTTTTGGAAAAGTATTTTTCCAGGCGAAATACGGAAGCCTGATTGGTCGTTTCAACAGTTCCTAGAGTGCCCTTTAAGATCGCTCAGAATATTGCAGTAAATGAAGAAATTGATTGAAACTGCTCTCAAAATTACTCATTTCATGCACCATTAAAACAAAATAATAACCACTAATATGGGTCACTCCACATTAAGCTTACGTGGCAACATACCGGATACGGAGAGTGGTTTTTGTGTCTCAAACTTGAGGTGGCTCAACAACCCAATAAAAACAATGAAGCACGATTAGTTTACCACTCAGTAAAGCTTCTCAAACTTCTCCATCCTTAGTTCAGAATCTGGACAATCCTGATTTTCAGAGTCCGCATTTCATTTGCCAAGGTTTCTTATTTTTCTCTGCATCATGTGTTCTCTGAGGGTTCAAAATGCAAACTACAAAAACGTGCATTGTTTCGTTTACTAATCTGTAAACTACCATTTATGGCGGATAATTATCGTACCTAGCTGTCTTAGTTTCAACTTGTGCTATGGCATTCTAACCTATGACTGGCTAGTTAGAAGTTGAGTGTTTAAATCAGTGAATATTACCAAATTTTTAAAATCTAATCATTATGTAGTAAACAGTCATTTAAAATTTATTTATAATAAATTAATGTTACTTATTGTTATGAATTGTTATTATCATTGGTAAACGTTTTAATATTTTATAAATACCATCACTTGCACTTTTTGTAACAGGTTCTGATGATTCTGATGAAGATATGTCATCGACGTCTTCTGCACATATTGCACATTTAGGAAACAATCAATCATCTGCTGTGAATGAAGTAGGTTCTTTTTGTAATTCTGAACGTTTTTGAGTTGTTTTTCAGCAAAAAATTTGTTATCTTTTCATTTGTCAGCGAAATTTATTGGCCACCTGATGAAAGTTACCACATGATTTTTCTTGAAAGAGTTAGTTAGTTTAAGAGTAGTCGCTGCACCTTGGACTGATCTGAAACTAAGAGCTAGGGAAAGCCAAGAGATGCTAGGGCACGTTTTCATTCTATTATATGTGAATTATGATCAAGATTTGACTGAGTAGTATTGCAATTATTTGGCACTGAGTAAAAGGTTGACACTAGATATGGTTTGTATCTGTGTAAGTCACAGCGTGTTTGGAATGAAATCATTCCAACGTTTCTCACGGAAGTCTGGTTCGAGCTTCTTCAGGGAAATAATCAGAATTGAAATATTAAGGGTATATAAATGACGGTGGAGTTCATCAACATAGTCAACTCTAAGGTTCAAATGGTACCGAACCTACAACATCCTATCCTGTGATGAGCAAGATACTAGTGAGCCACTCACTTCGTATTTGTTGAGTCAGGTTTCGAAACTTCGTTGATCATCTTGGTGAGATTAGTTTGTGGTTTATGTTCCCTAAAGTAATTTCACTTAACCAACGTTATAGAATAGTATACTTTCTATCAGTAATCTACCTTTCTTTGAGATGCATGGGTGATAGTGATGTGAAGGTTAAGCAGAATTTAGACTGAGGACTGGATACTCACCCATGGTAATGAATTATTTTCTGGCTGTATCCCCTATTAATGAAGGTTTCTTCTTAACACCAGCAAAAAGGTACCGAAAAAATCTAAAGGCTTTTCAGTAAATTTTTGGAAGTTTGGAGGGTGTTTTCTGTTGCAATTTCATTGAAGCAAATAAAACATCTCATCACATCCATGGCCCACAGTTTTTTTTTTTAACCTAACTTTGATTCAAGCAATGTGGGTTATAAAACGTATTGTATAGTATCGTAATTAGTTATTCAATCGGAGGCGGAGATTTTCAGCGAAAATGTTTCTCCTTTTTACTAATTATTTTAATTGACTGAATTTTAACGGGACACTGAGATAGGACGAACGTCACAAATTATAACCTGGTGCAAAAAGTGCCACATTTCGCAGAACAGCACAGAAAAATTAAAGTGATCATGATTGTGGAGATATTGAAGAAAACTAGAAATGCGATTAGAGACAGCAATTGTATGCATCGGTTGGCCACTTAAAAGTAATCAACTTCATGTTGTGTGATCACGGGCGCTGGCGAAATTCTACCGATCATTTTGCTATGTGGTCAACCAGGCTAGAAGATACCTAGCACCATCTTGCGCTTTGACCTATGTTATTTACTTGAAGGTAATCGGTAGAAAGCCGTGGACCTAGGTTTTACGCTTGTTAGCACTCACCAACACGGCGTATCTGCAACCTCAGTGGAACTGATCTCTCAGAGATTCGAACCCGCTGCTGTCAGAGACGTTACTACTGAGCTATTGCGGCCGCGATTAGCCCCCTGGTGGGTTGAATTAGATAAATTATTTGGTCAGTTGTTAGTTCACTGTCATGAAGATCCTAATCCATGTCACCCGATGCAGAGAGCTCATACTTTTCTACACATATCAGACTAGTGGTCATCAATATTAATGGCACATCGATATGTTTTATTTTTACTGTAAGATCATTTGTGTCTACGCTAAATTATTGTCGTTTCGGTGACCCACTTAAGTACAATATGCAACCAACTAACTATCATTTAGTTAATGCAGAGTTTTATATACCCCTTTAGATTCTACAACTAGTTTGGAATAAGTTGTTTTCTAAGCTGGGGTTTCGGCTAGTAAATGTTTTAATGGTATGCTGTTCATCAGTGAAGTTAAGTTTAGTTTAGTTCAAATTTCAGTCTCTTGTAAAGATACGAGGTGATTTTTCGTGAAAATGTTTAAAAACCTTTAGTATACTACTCAGCATGCAACTGTTTGTATTAATGGAGCGGAATTCTGAAACTATATTTCCATAATTTATATCAGTGATAGATAATGCCTAGCAGTGGAATCCAGTTTACGCGTTTCTCTCTACTTGAGACTCATCAGCTAGATGCACCTACCTCCCAGTGAGTGTTGTTGTTCTCAACAATACTGAAACCAAGAGCCAATCGTTTCAAACTCCAGAACATCATCTACTGAGTCAATATAACCACTTCTTGTGCGATGAGTGTAGTATAGTTTTGATGTTAGTAGCTTAAGGATCTCCGTCGTTTAATGGACCGAATTGAACGGCACTATTGGCATATAGGCTTCTATGCAGATGCCTCTGTATTTCTGAAATTTTCAATTTCGATATTAGTGATGGGCAGTGGCTAAAGAGTGGAATTGCTTATCTCATACATTTAAGCATAAATTCTTGTAAACCTATCTATTATTCGCCTCAATGCACACTGGGAATCTGAAGAAAATGTTTCTGTAAAGTATTTAATTTTTATGATCTCATAGTCCAGTGTAGAAACGCTACTTGTTGTAGGTAGATAGATAGTAACATTTGGGAACATTTTGACAGCTGGTATTTAAGCCCATTGGCTATCACCATTGTTTATTCTTTTACTATTTAGTAAATCAAATAGTTTTTAAAGTCACTTTATTTAAATTAGATGAAAACTATTCCAATACGACTATCAAATCTTAATGTATCGATTTGCTTTCTAATTGATAATTGTGTTGTTGTCTGTTTCATTGTTTGTCTCTTTTAATGGCCTATTTGTGTTTTACCTGATCATTGCAACTTTCGTTACATGTTTTTATGAATGTATCTGTGTGTATGTGTGTGGGCGTGCAGCGTCAATAGTTGAATATATATACTAAACTTTATAATTTGTTTACTTTTGTCACTTATGACCTTATCTGACCTGAGCTTAGCCGCCAATCGCAGAGTATGCTGCTTAACATTTATTTTGAACACATTTTTTGCGTTTTATAGTCCCAGGGATTAGTTGTTTTTATCCGTATACGCGTATGAATATGGTGTCGTTAACTTTAGTTGTGTACTGTTTATAGCCTATGTTTGAGTAAAATGTTTTCTTATTCTATACCATTTTTCTTGTCCCATATCTCTGATTTCATGATGTCAATTGTTGAATATCCTAAATGTACTTGCATTCATCATGTAAATAGTTGTGCATTTCGTTGTTGACGTTGTCTGGAAACGAAATACTCCAGAGATTTTGTTAATCTAAACCTTCATTGTAAATGTGATTACTCAATATTCACAAGTGGATTTTTTTTATCGTACGGTTCCATGATTTGTTCTTTTGACGGGTGGAATGAAATTAAAAATAACATCTGTACTCTTGATTCACTAACATTACCATTCCCTCCTTCATACGGTTGTAGTTGAAGTTGAAAATGTCATATAATTGCCTAGTAGTCTAAGCTACACAATTCACACCAGCGAATAGACAGACAAACAGACAGAGAGAGCGAATTAATAGACAGGCATACAGAAGGATGAAATTGTTAATTTTATTGCTAATAAGTAAATCAGAAAAGGTAGTCCAAGAAATCTTTTTAATGAAGTTTGTCAAATAGGAGTGGACGTAAATAAGGGTACACAGACTTGCATTTCTGAGACCGGTTCTCGGTAATTTCTTTTCAAAGTCATCTACAATCAGTAGTTGGTAGTGTTCTAGTCTGGCTACCCTTCCATTTGATGCGATGCAATTTCGAAACTACGTGCATTTCTATTCAGTACCCAATGTGACCTACCTTTTCTGTGAGACTGAATGATGGTGTTACTTAGCTACATGGATCTTGCTAGGTGGAGTGAGATTCCAATGCTTGACCACTGGTAGATTGTAATATGTCTAGATCAATTCGGTAAAGACCTATCTATTTATCTATCATACTTCTACCTTTGTTGATATAGCGCTTTAGTAGTAAGAGCTTAGTATGAGAAATACAGTAACGCTTGCACGAATCAACGTAGGTTGAAGTCAGTTTTTGGCAAGTATGCAGAGGATCATAGATGTTCAGAAGTCTGCAAAGTTAACCAATAACTCATATTTGTGTCATTCACTTGCAAGTGTTAGGCATCATTGGGAAATTTGAATGATAATTTCATGCGATGATGTAGAAAACTCCGTTTCAAGAGACGAAAATAGACTATGATGTCAGTTTTTTAGAAAATTGTCCATGCGTAGTCATAAAAGATATGCATTGTCTTACCATTTTCGTGTCGAACTACAGCATTAGATACGAATAACCAAAAGATTACATCCTTATAAATGAAGGTTTGAATATCTGACTATATTTCAAATTATCTTCTTACTACTGGTAACTTGATTATCAGTTGTACTGTATGAATTATTTTATGAATATGTTTTCATTTTTTCCACGTGATCATTGTGCTCTTTATTTCATTCTGACCATATAAACTAAAAGGGGCCAATTTCTAGTATATCAGCTAATGGTGTATCTGAAAGGAGTCAAGTTCGAACAACTGCTGTTGCTCAACAACTTGCATCTGGTCATCTCGATGTAATGAACAGACGTAAACAACAGTCCTCATCTACTGATCGTTACGATGAGGTGCCTTCTTTGGATGAAATTAGATCAGGTAATGATGATGATGATAATGAAAATTTGTTTTTCATAAACCCATTTTGAATTTGCACTACTTAAAACGAGGATTCTGATTTAGTGAGCAGTATGAGCTAAGTCGTTTTTAGTCATCCAGCTTAACAATGAGTTGTAAATTGCTAGTCAACTATATAGTACTATTGGTCTACAAATTATAATTGCGATTCGAGACTGTTGATTAGCTTTCATTTGTTTCGTATGTTCGTTAAAGAGAAAGGTGTGTCTAAATCTTATCAGTTATTCACAGTACAACGAAGCCCTGGTGGTTTTGTCAAATAATCCACAGCTATATGATAAAGTATTCCTTTTTTCACGTAATATATGTATCAGGGTATTTCACTCAGCCTGTAACCTTTTCTCGTGAGGTTGAGCTATATAACTAAGCTTCAGAAAAAACATTCATAGTGATCAGTGTATTATGTGGCAACCGGCTTTCAAGTGTTTTCATGTTTTAGATTTGGAAAAATGAGAGGTGACTGAAGAGAAGACATTTTTTCTTTCGCTGAACTCATTCTCTTAACTACACATTTGTGAATACATAGTGAGGAGAATAGCATATTCCGGAATAATTTTCGGTGAAAGGCCAAAGCACATCATCCAAGAAAGGCAGTCACGTTATATATATATATATATATATATATATATATATATATATATATATATATATATATATATATAAATGATTGAAAAATGAGATGTGATTACGTCGTAAAGGAGTTGTGTAGAGTGATCAATCCATTTTGATGGGCATGGCAAAGAAAGACGTTGTGCTTATTTCTTTTGAATTCACAATAGCGGTTTGAACTTGTGAATTACTAATGCTTCAGCTTTTCCCAGGTATCCCATTTTTACTCCTTTGGCATGGCCTAGTTGGTTTTTATATGAGCTTCCGAACAATTCATCGGAAAGGAGCTAAGTTTCCTGAGTTTATTGAATGTTCTGTTAAGTAGCTTAAGTTGCATTTTCGTTCTCCTTTTGTTAATCACATTGGATAGTGTTAGCGAATGCCTTTCGGAGACTGACGCTTGGTATGTTTGCTGTGCTAGGCTTGACGGGAGCAAGTATGCTGATACATACACATTAATGTGGCTTAGTGCTCCAGCTTGTCCTTCGTGTACTTACGAATCAGTTTTTAACAGGAGAATGTAATTTTGGGATGAGCAGCATATATATATATATATATATATATATATATATATATATATATATGATTATTGATATTCGCTTCTTAGGGATATCTGCCACACTGTCACCCGTGAATCCGTTATCCAGCAGCAAAACGTTTGCAGCGTAATGTGCGATACATTTCGGCTTTATTTTCCTATCGATTAATTCTGTTAAATATCCATTCTCATCAGAATCTCTCGCAGTTTCTTGAGCTCATCGTATGTGGTATCTCCTGTGCATACTTTCTATTCATGAACAGAATGAATTGATATGATTTCTCTTCCTGCCTAAGAGGATACAAAATTGGAGTGGTTAAAATCACTACATGAGATTGAACCTAGATCTTTCGTTTGATTCTTTAGATTGTCGGATTGATCTCGTATATTAAACCCTTCTAAACTTGACATTATTTCAGAGAATTTCGTACTTTTGAATACAGCTTGCATTTTAATTCAGGACAGTGACACATTTAAATAGTTGAATGCACAATTTCCCTTTGTGTTCAGAAAAATATGGATTTTTAATTCAGAGTAGTCGGAGAAAAAGAATGAACTTAAAAGAGCTCGTTTGTTTACGTTGTCATTGGTGATTTCTCAACGCTAGTCGAATTTCTGATTACCTTCACACATGTGACAGAATCAAGTATAATGGAACTTTCTTATAAAGAAATAATTAGTGAACAATCAGATTAGACTAAAATTCAGAAAAAAACATTATAAGATAATGCTGAAACAGTTATGGGCTTATGACTGATTGACTGACTGACTGTCAAATGCATCAAGTGCTTCACAGTAAGTAATATGCAAAAACAGGTGGATAGAATAAGAGAGGTATCAAAGTACACAAAGTTATGTGAAAGAATGAACAGTCTGGAGATAAAGGTTAATGCAAATAATCAAGCCTTTTAGAAGACATCAAGCAGTGAATCCATTTTCATCCACTTCACAAAGAGTCCTCACCTACCCATTTCTTTCGTCTCGGGGACTCCAACCAGGTAGTCGACATCTGCCAACACGGCTCAAACCAATAGTCAGGCACTTCACAAACTGATACTACATCTTTGTCTGGCCAATCACCCTGAACCCTTTCCCAACCTAATCCAACTTCCCATATCATGGCTCATCGAGGTAGTTGGTGACTCTGCATCTCTATCGATGAAGGTTCACAACCTCATAAATCGACCTGTCTGTCTGGCGCAGTACGCTTCGCCTGACCTCAACATTAGTTACACGGTGATTCCACCAGAGACGAGAAATACCGCAAAGACACCCGTGATCGAAAACCTGTAATCACTTAGCCTCTTCTACTTTTAACGGCTATCTCAGCCGTATAGCAGGAGACCTGACTGTGAACTTTCTTCATGGTTTTCATCATCAACCAAGATCGTCATATAAATATTACTGATTGACTTCCGTGTATTAGATAACTTCTGGTACCGGTCAGTAGTATATGTGGTTTTCCTTTTTAATGCTTATAGTTTTAATGGTGGTAGTGTTGTTAAAATGTTAACATAATTTACTGTAAACATTTCGGTTGCTGAAGGAAAAAAGTGATAAACGTTTTTGGTTGAGTTTTATTTATTTGTATCTATTCTGCAAATATGTGGTTCCATTCGGTAGTTTCTGTGTCTTAAATGAACTGTTGCCTACTCTATGGTTTAATGTTTTAACTTTGAGTTAACTCATTAGGTTTCATTTAGTTATGTTATGTAATTTCTGATCACTTCAGTTGTATAACTGTTTTTTTTGTAACGAATTTCTAGCGTGTAAGTTGTGTATACTGTTCGTTCACCTTTTAACTTCCAGAATATTCATGTGGAATATGATGTTAGAACTCAAGAAAGATAAATAAAAGATGTTATTGTTCTCTTCTTCTGTTGTTCTGCGTGATGAATTTACAAAAACGTTTGGCTAAAAAGCTTGAAAAAAAATGTCAACTATACAATTTGTACAAAACAAATGACTGCGATTAATTGACAAGTTAATTTTTCTCTTTATCACGGATTATAAAAAAAAAATTTTAGCTTCACGATAAATATAACTGGATTGGTAGTCACATTAATTCTCGTGCTGTAGACAATCGGTCAAGTGTGTTGTGTAGGGGCTGACAATACTACTCAGGTGCTTAAAGCGAAGTTATAGACGACGGGTATTTAAAGTTATTTTGCTAGTTTCTTTTCCACTGCTTTTTAGCTTTGAGTTCAAACTTGAGGAGATTGCTTGCTAAAAGTAAGACTAGCGCAGAATTTACGCGTGGTTGGATTTCTTAGATTTCTTTAAAAAAATCGTTCCACTGACAGAATACAAAACTGATTAACAGTGAACTTTAGCAATGAATGTCAATGGCTTTATTCCAAATAGTATTTTTGGTGCAATAGGGAATTCTTAACAAGTTATTTATATTTTAACAAATTCATTCCCCAAACAATATTGCATCTATATGATGCTTATAATAACTTTAAAGGCAATAATGTGAAGCAGCTGGTTAGTGTTGGATTAGCGTTTGGTCTAGAATGGGAAACTAACTGTAGAACAAGCTTAAGTTTGGTGGCTCATTCGGTCAACTGAAGTATGTACTATTAGAGATAGATATCGGAAGAATAGAAATATGATGTATTTTTGTGCATTCAAAAGTCTATTTCCATCTTACATGATATGCTTCCTTCCTTTTGTTATTAATTCGAAAAACGGTTGGTTCAGAATATTTTAAAATTCCTCAAGAGTATGTGATAGGTTTGGAGGACATATTTGAAGGGTTCAAACAAACTAAAAAGGGAGAATATGATATTAGTATGTCCAGTGGAAGATTTTGTTGGTAGCCCAAGGTTCCAGCAGACCGCCAAACAATTCGCTTTCATGAATATCTGTTTCCCTTCTCTGCGATCACTTCAGAGAAACTCGTATAGTCAGTATATACGAATCCACATTTTGCATTTAATTGACTAACTATTTTATTGATATTTTAAGGATTCCACCCCAAAACTTATTTACTCTTTGGTATTCCTGCAGTTGTGTTTACGACGTACTCATGTTTGAAGACAGTGGCTCAATTCAGAGTCTAATACGCGTTTTGAATGGAGTTGAAAACCCGTCTGCACTTTTAAGTCGATTACTTGGTGGGGGTGTAGTTGATTGAATTGATCACATTGCCCCTAGTTGAGTAGATATATCGGACAGACTGGATACAAAATTTTTGGTTGTTTATTTGCCAACCGACTTCACGTACGGTGTGAAAACAATCACTTTTGAACCCGAAACTAATGTGTACTATATGTACAAACTAATTTTTCACAATATTGGCTTTCTCAGTTAGTTTGCAATACATAGAATCTGGGTTAAGCTGTGTCTAAAACAGAGATAACTTCATTTCAGAATTTATTTTTTTCGAAAATATAAAAGTGGTACTTTCTGTACGATGAACATAGGTAAAAAAAACAAAGGGTAATTCTAGAAAAACAGATGAGGTGTCGGACAAATTTAGAGTGGAGCATTGTCATTAGTAACAGTAGTAATTGTGCAACTATAATACTTTACTTAATTGACTAATCAATCGCAAATTTGTGAAAATATGTTTATAGCTCAACCGCCAATTCGATCATCAAACAGAACGAATCATTCAGACGCAAACAGTCCTTGGATTCACACGAATCAATCTGTTCAACATCAAAACGGTAATATGGACGGAGAAATTAAAACTGCTGATTCATTTGAGCAGCTAGCTGCCTTAGCCGAAGCTCAGTTAACTTCTAATAATCTAGCCATATCTGGTGATCCTAATCCATCGATCAATACACTTTTTCACCAATCTCAAACAATATCTACAGGTATTTGTGTTGCATACAAGCTGTTTTTATTTATTGCTATTGTTGTGTGTACTTAGTATTTTTATGTCTCTGTATCTGACCAGATGTCAAAATGTTGATCCTAGTGTTGCTGTTAATATTTGAATATCCAAGATATATGGGATTTACTTTTCTAATAAGTCCTACAAATTTGCTAAAAATCTGAATTTGAACAGTACTTTAAATATGTGATTTTAGTTACTGAGCTTTTCGAGTTTAGTCCTTATGTTATTATGCTGGACAGCAACGTTGATGCAATTGTCAAAAGGAGATGAATGATAAGAATTTTACAAGTAACTTCCTAGCCTGACTCATTGACTTAAAATGTAATTTGTTGTTTCCAGTAGGTTCACTATCACGCATATATTTTGATTGCGGTTTTTTCTTACTTTATCCTTAGAGTTATGCTTTTTTGTCATAGTTTTCTTTGGTTTGTAAATTTCGTCCACGTCAAAACTATCTGTAAATTGGAGACTAACTTGGGTCATGATTTTCTGAAAACGTTTTTGTAGTTGTTGTATTTTTCAGTCATACATGAGATTTCTCCACTTCCTAGTCGGATTTTTTTTCACAGTTTTCAACGTGCATTTATATGGAACGATATGGCCTCTATGCTGTAACCATCAGTCATTCTCATCAATGGAGGCGAGGAGAACACATATTTGCTGATCTTCACAGTTTCCACAGTCTTTTAAGCGATTTTCTGCTCCCTTTCTTTTGCTGTTCTATCCTTTGGCAGGCATATTATTGATTGATTAGCAGCCGCTTCAGATCGCTTAGATTGTATGATTGTGGAACAACTAGTTTGTTGGTTCCCGGTATCATTTACCTTTGAGTTGTTGATAGACACTAGTTACCCAATGTTTTGCAAAGTAGTGTGAATATTCTGCTTCTTGTTTTCTCAAGGTTAATGAGATTTGGTGTTTCGTTTTGATTGTGAATTCAGTCTAGTTAAGACAACATAGATCTAGTTAGTAGATGCTTTCTAATTAATTCATTTCGATAGTGGTAAACGTGTAGTCTGCATTTTTGATCCGAAATGTCTTCATCTTGACTAGCTTCCAGCTTTTATGTCAGCCTTTAGTTTTTGCGTTTTTATTTAGAGCTGTTGAATATGCAAGGTTTATTCGCTTTGATACTTGGTTTCAAATTTAAGCCTCATTTCACACTAAAGTTTGGGCAGTCAGGCGGTATCATCTAATCTTAATATAATGGCCTTGTTTCATGTTCAGGTACCTAGAAAGTGTTCGGTCGCTAACTTACAGGTTATCATATCTGAAAATGTAGCTTAGTCAGAAATATTATAAGTCATTGTGTTCCCTGTTGGATTTCTTTTAATTCTGATGTATGTGTATGTTTCCCCGGCGCGTAGCGCAATCCCAGTTTTATGCATCTGTTGCGTTGTTTAATCCTCTCTAAAAGAATTTCCTTTGTGCTGCATATAAGATCTGTTTGCACAAACTGACTACGCTATCCTTCGCTTAATATATCATCGCCTTTCGATATTTCTACAATCTTTTTCTTATAGACATCTACTATCTGTGACGTTTACTTTCTAACTACTTGACTGTTATTCAATAATTTTCCGTCAAATCTAATAAGTATCAGACAGTGTTCAGTCTTCACTCATCAAGTGTTGTCAGCAAATGAAACGAAGTCTGTTGTGTTCTTTGAGCATCAGTATAAACTTCAAAAATAAGCGTTATTGCCCACCAGTGGATCAGTAATTATAACTGCACTTTACAGTTTCTGCAGGTTCTTCATTCATATCTCCTTCAAATAGTTTAAACTAGTAAAATTTTGTTATTTCAACAGATAAGCAATAAATTGAAAATGAGTTATGTTGTTAATAGACATTGCTGAAAATGGCTTTATTTCACAGATTATTGATAGGAATGTCAAAACCTAAAAAAATAGTCAAATCACATTGTATCAATTACTGGTGTGTTATACTAACCTACAGACAAAATAAACTCATAAAAACACTTTTGTTTCTCAAGAAGTTTACTAGTAGTGTATGTAAACAAACGTGAGTTGTATAGGCTGATTATAATGATGGTAATGATGAAACCACTGACCGATCTCAAATCTAAATATGATTCATTCAAAACTATAGGATTCTTTTCAGAATGAAATACTTGTATTGGTGAGGTTTTTTGATGATTATTTTTGTTACCAAATACATTGTTTTGATACGTTTATCCAACTTAAAATATCATAAAAGGTTTGGTGTCGAATAATTGCAGCTGAGGTTTTGTACTTAATGAATTTTTGTAAACAAGGGGAATTGAAATTTTATAGAGTGTTGATTATCAGTCTGAGAATTATCACTTTGCTGCTCTATCAGGGTACCATTACTATCAAGTGAAGTTTTTCGAAAAACATTGAGCTTCTGTCTTAGTGAATCTACTTATTCAGATTTCTTATAAAAGTAGTAATTCCTGTGGGATTATAAGAATGAATGATTAAATGAACGGGAATACTGCGCTACTGAAATTCTTATTAAATTGGCTATTTTGCCTATTTGCATTTCAGTTTGTTTAGCTGTTCAGTATAACTTTACTCATATGTTTCACCTTGATTTGATTTAAAAAATGTAGCTTCTCAACCTCAACCTCCGGTTAGTTCACATCTAATGTCCGTAACTCAGAATGGTCAGAAATCTCGTATCTTTGGAGGTGTTAGTGTTCTACCTAGTTTAACCAGCAATGCAATATCTTACGGTAATTCATTATGTGCACATCCCGATTTCATTCCTTCATCGTCATCCTATGATCTTCAACAGACCCAACAAGAACAGTTTTCGCAATCAAATCTCCCAGTTTCACTAGCATCGTCTTCATCGCTAAATCTAGATAACAGTAATGATAGAAAGTTTTCATCACCAGGAGCAGTGGGACCATTCGAGCAAGATGCTTCTGCGGATGGTGGTCAAACTACGGGACTTGTGTGCCATAATCGTGTATCAGAAAAAATCCAGAAGTTAGTCAACACTTTGAAACGCCCGAAGAGATATCCGTTGCCGGAATATTTCCTAGACGATGAAGACCAAGTACTTGTAAGACCTGTGGTTGATCCAACAGCACCACGTCCTAGGGGTCTTCCATCTGAGCCATTGATTGGTGAAGAATTAGTAGTAAGTTCTTTTGTGTTTTAACAGATTTTTTGTTGTGGACTCGTGGTACGCCCTATATCATAAATACTAAACATTGGTTTTTTAAATGCTTGCTATAGATACCTTCTGGTTTACCACGGAACTTAGAGTCAGCACTTCAGCGTTATGCTAGTTTGAGCTGTAAAACACCAGCTTTAACTTGTTTGGACGTATCTGGAAGGCCTACTCAAGTGTTAACTTATGCGAAATTACTTCAGGTATGTTATCAACTAATCTTTTATGTATGTTTTAATATGTGTTAATGTTTCATTTGTCAAGAAGCTTACCCAGAAGTGTTTAACACTGTATAGTAATGTGCGAAAGTAATTGGTGAATTTTAAATACATCTTGGTCGCTACCAGTTTCTAGTCAGTGGTTTTTAGAAGATCGAATCTTACTTCAAGTAAATAAATTAAAAAAAGCATGTCGGAAAATCGTTTGAATAATTGTTCATTCAGGCCCACTAGACGGTTTGTTCTATTTTTCCTTAATAGTTTTGATAGTAGGACTTGTTTCCCGTTGTTGATCAATTTGGACCAAATCAGTCGAGAACTGTCGACATGTAAATCCCTTAGCGGATGCTTCACAACTCTCACTATTGATCTTTAATAGGTTTACTTTGTCGTAATTTTTCTTGCTTTCGCTCTTTTTACAACTTACAACACAAGAGGGGGAGATTAGGCTAGAAGTCATCCTCAGGTGTTATAGCGCTCTATGTGAAAATGTGTTTTTTCTGTATTCTCTATGCATATATTTGGAAGGGAACACCACAATCCTAAATCCTTCTTACTGCAATTTAAAGCTTCAGTTAACTCATTTTGATTTGTGAGCATCATTCTTCATAAGTAGCTGTATCTACCATCCGTCTACGAAGTAGAAGTGCAACCAATATTTTGCACATGCATAAACGGTATAAAACATGATTCGGTGGCAGATGCCATTTTAAAAACTATACGAATAGATTAAATATGCATACAGAACACAGAAAATATGCGTATTTGCGCACAGAACGCTAGTACCTATAATAAAGACAATAACACTCAGGGATGACTTTTAGCTCCACCCAAACTGCGCATTTTTCCAAATTTAATTACGTCTTACTTTTTTTATCTTTTCTATACCAGTTTGTTAATTATCGACAAGAATGACAGTATTAGGTTGTATCGAAACTCTGTGTTATGTTGAAATTTTGTACTTAGAATACGCTCTATGCTGATTCATGAAACAAAATATCACCGTAAGAGAACTTCCAGCTGTCACTGACTGAAGTAGAATAAAATGCCAATGTAAATGTCTTTATGTGAAGTATAACGAAAAGTTAAGCTTGTAAAAATGCTTTTCGAATTTAGATATGCCTGAATTTGCTGTATTGTGCACCTAGTCGTGTGTTACCCTAAATACACTATTTTTCAATCACCAAACTTCATTGTGGCATTACTAGCCCAATCATTTGGATTTTATCAACGTGTAGAGCTGAGCTTTCGCACCTGTAAAATGTAAAATGATTCCAAAAGACTAGTCTGCAATTACTCCTGGTTGAATGATAGGGAGTGAAGTGGTGGGATGTGTCGACCACTTCACTTACTTGAAGAATTGCATCAATCCAAACAGAGTGGTTGCTGACGAAATCTCAGCTCGGATGCAGAAGGCCCGTTTGACATTTGCCAAATTGCGGTATCTGTGGCACCGACTTGCGAGATAGCCGAGCATCTATCAAAGGACGAGTATACTGCGCTGTAGTCCGTTCTGTCCTGTCATATTATACGCCTGTGAGACGTGGTTGTTATAAGTGGGAGATAAGAAGCCATTACAGGGTTTTGATCACAGATGTCTTCGTAGCATCGCTGGCGTTTGCTGGAACCACCGTATGAGAAATGTTGAGGTCAGGGGAAGGGTACTAGGCAAGACAAGTCAAGTGATTAGATTGAGGACCTTCATTGACTGAGATGGCTTGGACATATACTGCACATACTGAGTCACCATTTACTTCGACGTGCCATGCTATGGGAAGTTGGATTAGGTTAGAAAAGGGCTCGGGTTGGTTGGTTGGCCAGGACAGGATGTAACAGCCCATGAAGTCCCTAACTGTTGGTTTGGGCGGTGTTGGGAGATGTCGGCCGCCTGGTTGGGGTCCGCGAGATGATAGAAATGACTGGTTGAGTACTCTTCGTGACACGGCTATCAGTTAGTCACTGTAGCATAGATGTATTCACCCCTTGGCGCTTTCTAAGATTTGAGTATTTGCACTGACTTTTATCTTCAGATTGTTTATTCTCTCACACAATTTTGTGTACTTTGATATCACTCTTACTCTATCCATCTATTTGCTGCATACTTCTGTGAAGTGTGGCTACTTGAACTAGTGCCTTGTGTGAAAGGTTCTACGTTGATTCTGTCTGTTTACCTGTAGAACTGGATAACTTGACATTAATTCCCACCATGGTATGCTCAATTCAATCGCTGAGCTCATCACTAGTCTTCCTAATGGCTTGGTAATAACATCTCAAACTGACTCACTGAATGCCATTTTCGACTTTTTCACATGGTGTCAAGAAGTACATAACATCTTCCCAGTTCTTCTTGTCGATTTCCTTCGCTTATTTAATAACTGAGTTTTCTACTCGTAAAGGTTTTATTTTTTCACTTGTATAATGCAGATAAATAACTATGCTTTATATATTTGACATTTCTCAGGTAATGTCACATGAAAGTGGTAATATGACTAGTTACGTATACTTTTGTAATTTGACTCAGGAAATCTGAATTATACATTGATTAACTAGTTTTTTCTGAGTACGGAAGGTATTTTTATTGTGTTGAGTAGTATTTTAAAGATGTCATCTGTGTTGTGGATAGTTTTTCTGTTATCTGTTGTTAGATATAACTTTTTTAAAAGTATGGAAATCTAACTTTATGCCAAAGATATCTCAGTGGTATTGGTCAGTATGAAGAGAAGTCTAATGGAGCAGCAGAGGTTGTTTATTGAAAAACTGCAGACAAATACGTAAACCCAACATAGGGCCTAGCGCTACTGTGTAACAGTCCAAGTTACGACACCTCATGTCGGGACATCAGTATAGAAACAGTAGAATGACAGATAAGGAAATAAAGAGCGAAGCACCATCAAAGTGGTAGAAAGTCATTGACAGTGACCAAGGAAGAATGCGTGGATACTGCAGTTTGCTTTGACGATGAAGATGACTGTAATGTAAGGTTATATATAAGCCAATGAGATTGACTTTGAACTGTACCACTGAGGGTCTCCACCCGCTGGTTTCTATTCTCACGTGGACCCCAACTGGGAAGTCTACATTTCCCTGCATGGCTGAGGCCAATGATCAAGAACTTTATGCACTGACGCAATATTTTCATTTGACTGCCTTTAACCATTTTCCAACATGCACCTACTTCAGCTAACATTGTGCAATGAGGTAGACGGTGATTAGGCATGCGTATTACATGTTTCAGCCACATCAGTCGATGAAAGTTCATAACCTCATAGATTGACTTCTTTTCAAAGTGCTACGCCTGACCTCTACGCAACTACACAAGAAATGAGTGGAAGTTATTCATCACCTATAAATATTTAACAATTTAGGAATTGGATATTCTGTATGTAAACACCATTTGATATAAGGTGAGCATAAATATTAGTATGTGCCATTCTACTCAAAATGCTCACAAGAAGTACTTGTTCCACTGGGGCAGGTTCATTTTGTCACTTTCTCACTGGTTTATGATAGAAGGTATTTGATCCGTTCTTTTGAGATTTATTATGTAAAACCAAATTAGTAAACCACTTTTTGATGTAACAAAAGTTTTTAGCATATTTGTTATCCTGTGAACTGAATGCATCTAATGGCTTAATATATTCTTTTTCATTTCTCATAGCGGGCTATCCGAATCGCTTATACACTGTTAAATAAATTAGGTCATCGTGGAGAACAAAGTTTAAAACCTGGGGATCGTGTTGCTTTGGTATACGCGAACAACGAGCCAATCAGTTTTTTATGTGCATTTTATGGATGTATTTTGGCAAGCGTAATACCTATAGCTATAGAAGTGCCATCAGCACGTCGAGTAAGCATTCCTTTTTTCTATTTTCATTATCTGTTAATTTTAAGTAAAATATATGTGTTTCTATAGTAAGCTGTAGAAACATGTTTTGTTGATTTTAGAAGAATCTATGAATTGCTGAGAAGTAATTGATCTTTGCAATATTTTGGAGACTATTTTGATTACAACGTGCAACCACTTAGTAAACTGACTTCGCAGCTTCTGTTAACAGACACACACCATACGAATTTTAATATGAATCTACTGGTTTCTGCTATCATATATTTTAGTTTTCAACAATGGAATTTGAAGTTCAAGATTTCATTGCCTTCCTTAGCTAAGTGACCACCTTTCAAACTTGTTTGATAGAATTCAGTCCATAATCTTTGACAGCGCTATTGATTACTGTTCACTAACTAATTCTTGTAGATACTTCAATCATTGTTACTTGATAGCTTAGTAGAAAGGTAACTAACTGAAGTTCGAATCTCTGAAGGAATATGAATTTTCAAGGCTGCAGAAATTCATTCCTGATGAGTACCAACAGACACAAAACCTGAATCCAAAGATTCTTATGGTGTGACCTCCGACTTCGATAACACTACCTTGCTTTCATGCTTAATGGATGGTTTTCCTATTTGTTTTCGTTTTGGGGGGAAGCATTTATATTGTTCATTTATTTTTCGTACTTTGTTTTGTATTAAAAGGATGCTTCATGTCAGAGTATGGGATTCCTACTGGGTAGCCAGGATGCGCGTGTAGTATTGGCTAGTGAACAGTGTTACAAAGCTTTACAACGTGGTCCAAATGGTGATATATTGCCATTTCCTGGTTGGCCTCGCGTTACATGGATTAATACAGATCACCATGCTAGTGGAACAAAGCCACCAAAGGACTGGACTCCACCTGATCGATTAGCGAATGATTCAACTATGTACTTGGAAGTAAGTATTTCCCCAAAGGGTTACTCTTTTTCACTGTATCCTTCACTGTGTATACAACCGTATTATTACGTAAGAAAAACTGACTAATTGGGATTCAGTAGTTCACAATTTATGTCATATATATATGTTTCAGAATTTCGATAGCCGCGTAACTAAGCCAATTGAATTTAGCGTATGTGAAGCGTATTCCATTGATTATTTTATAAACTGTAACTAGTGACAATTATTCGGCAGAATTTTTATCTTCTAAACGAGAAAAAAACAGTCTTTACATTTGGTAGGGCATTAACTAATGATATAGTATCACATTACAGTCGGGCTCTAACCCATGATCCAGGTCAATTAGTATATTATGAATTAGAACTCTAATTTATCTGTCTGAACAGTTTGGTGGTCTTGTTGACCTTTACGTAATAACTGTGCTTTATTACCTGGTACACCAGCCCGTACGAAATTTTTCTTTTGTTTTCGAAAAATACAATTTAGCTCAAGGTAGTATTTATCATAGACTGGCATCAGCTCCAAAACCCCTGAAAACCTGGGAGGACCGGATAGCTCTTTTATCTTAGTACAGGATTGCTCAGTATCATACACCAATGACCTAGCGAGGAGTCGAACTCGGAACTATCGGACTTCGCAGTTAACATATTAGCTATCCACCTACTGGGTTGGAGTTCAATAGTTCAGTGGCATGTCTATCCATCAAGACCTGTTATATTGTCAACCATTGAAAAGCGAAGCGAGTGCCAACTGAAGACCTTGGTAGATAGTCGCGCTATATCGTGAATTGATAGAAGTGGGAAACTGTGCACCATTTAACTCTGACCCAGTGACTGAGTGATTAGTGAGTTCACCGCTAGAACTGAAAGTCAAGAGTTTGACCCCTGACAAGGTGGGGGGGGGGGAACGCGCTGCTGAGGAGTCCCATACTAGAATGCAGCTGCTGTCCAGTGCCTCCAGATTTTCAATAGTTCTCCAACTGCTGTCAGTCCGTGATAAATACTATCTCGAAATAAATAAAATCCCTAAGGACCTCAAACTAAACAACTTAGTGTCTAGTTTATAAATGTTATGGTTCACAAGTGTTCACCCACGGCTATTATAATCGTTTTTATCATTATCCCTAAATTGTATCTGTTTTTACTATTCGGAAGAATGTAAATGTAAATTAAGGATAGCCATGTTTATAGCTTATATTTTAGTATAATCTCACAGGAATGCTTTCTCTGAGATTTTTTTTTCCAAAAAATAAGGCAAATTACAATTTCCTCCTGAATAACTCGGATGTAATAAGGTTGATTTACAAACATATGCTACCACTCTCATCACTTTTCTCGTGAGCCCCTACCTTAGTAAAACCCTTTATTTAAATACTAAATAACTATGACTTTCTTCAAAGTTCATCTCTTGACTGAATAATTCAGCAATTTACGTTTTATGAGATATGTTTAAAAACCACTACAGTATGGAATGGTATGAGAGTCTGAGGATTAACTTAGGTTTTTGACAAAACATTTACGTAAAAATATTGTTTAGTGAGCCGATTCGTGTAAATTTGAAATATTTATCTGGTAAATAATTTATGAGTGATCATTTTAGAGTGATTCTGAAGGCCACCTTAGCAACAACTGAAATACCCAATTAGAATCCCATATTTTATCGAAGTTGACTAATTCATGTGGCTTTTTCAAGACAGGTTCTTTGGGAAAAAGGTACTTTCACGTTTACCAGCAAAAATTCAGGGTATACTTTTTGTCCGGTTTTTCATAGTAGATTTTGGGTTAGGAATTAGGGAAGTGAATTTCACACTAAACACAATCCTGTAATATACTTGTTGAAGTTGTCATAACACTAGTAATTCGTTTTCTTTCTATGTTGAATTATTATTATTATTATTATTATTATTATTATTATTGTTACTACTATTATTATTATTAGAACACTAACATGGTGCAGCAAGGGCACCAAGAAATGCACCATACAGAATAGTATAACTACATCGTGAAGACATAAACTAGGGGAAGTAGACAAGTAAGAAAGAAAAACAAAAAGAATAGCATGATTAGAAGGGGAGTTCAGTAAGGCACATTGGAAACGAAACATTCATTACTTTTCAGCAGCAGAAAACAGAAGGAAGCTACAGCATGACCACCACTGGTTTCGATTCTGAGCCATATCTGATAACGTCTCAAGACACTGAGTTCCGTGATCTCTCAAACCCCACTCAGAGAGTCGTGATACACCAACAGACGGTAACCCGACACAATTATCCTTCATCCCACGGCGCCACATCATACACTGACCACCCCTCTGCTTCTTCCATCCAGTCTTAGGAATAGCATGAAATGAACGGCATGGAAGCCGGTGTTTCAAGATGACTTCATTTGTTGAATGACGATCTCCATCATGACCAAACATGTGATGTCATAACTCAGAATTAATTAAATGATGTTGCCACCGGATACGAACGATCCTAGGGAGACAACGATGGTCGAACATACAGGGTTGTCGCACACCCTCAGCTCGGAGAGGTCAGGTTTCACAGGTGTAAAGCATAACTGCTCGAACCGAAGCGTTGTAAACCGAACCATTTGGGTTCACACTAACGTCTCGACAGCGCCAAGGGTGGCCCAGATTGACGTATACCACTGTGACTTTCTATATGCTTTGGAAATTTCACCATACACCTCCACGAGCACTCACACAACCACCCGGATACACAAACGTTTTGACTACTTTCAACGACTCACCACCAGGGGTGAGTGGAGGCACAGGCTCCTGCCAGTCTTGTAAAAGTACTTTGCGCTTCATTGGTGCAAAGCACGTACTATACTTACGGACAGTAACTGCCAACTTATTAAGTACAACTTGAGTAGCCTGTGTTGTTGCACAGTAAGATGATATCATCAGTATGTTCAAGGTCGAATGGCCGTTTTCTGGATGGTAGATCTACTCCATTATAACGCGCCTCCTTCGGAACTGTTTCAAGAATATCGTCGGTGGCATAGTTGAAAAGGAGTGGAGAAATCGGGCAACCCTACCCAACCCCACTGCTGGTTTTGAACAATGGTGACAGGTGGTTGTACGCCTTCCATTTACCTGAGGTGTTATTATATGGAGCTTTCAAGTAGCTAATAAATTTCTTGGGGACACCCCTCTTCAACAGACAATTCCAGAGTACAGCTCTGTCCAACGAATCAAAGGCAGCTCTAATGTCAAAAAACACGACGGCTGTCGGCCTGCAATACGTGTGGCGATGTTCAAGCATCTGGCGAAAGATGAACACAAGATCAATGCTTCCACGACCTGAACGAAACCTGGGGTGCTCCTTGCAAATCATTTTTCACATGTTTTGCAAAGTCTGCGAAATATGATAGCACCAAATATTTTCAACGTGACTGGTAACAGACTAATACGTTGATGATTATCACATACATTACCTAGACCCCTTTTAAAAATGGGCATGAAAATGGCTTCATTCCAGACCGATGAAACACTGTCAGTCTGCCATACCTTCTGAAACAATTTAGTCACTTTGGCGACTAGTTTCTTTCCTCCATCCCTAAAAGGAGCCGCGGGTAAGTTGTCTGGGCCGGGTGCGTTGTGACGTTTCAAAACTTGGAGTTCCATATGAACGTCCGCTTCGTTAGGTGGGTCAGTGTTAACTGACCGTGGAGCAGGATGCACCGGAGTTGACAATATTGGAACTGTGGTCCAGCTAAACTGCTTTTCAAAGTGCTCCACCCATCTTTTCAGACGTCTTTGAAGATTCTATCTTGAGGTTTATGGAATAGAAAAGTAGGAAGTTTGGACTACTGGTTTCCAACCCCAGTGACTCAATGGTAATGTTCTGGCCACGGGACCCGATGGTTCCGGGTTCGACCCCTGGCGGGGTCATGGGTGCGCACTGTTGAGTCCCATACTAGGACGAAACAGCTGTGCGGTGCTCCCAGGTTTCCAATATTCCTCCAACTGATGTCAGTTCATGGTGAATTCTAGAAGTCTCTGTAGATTATAAACATCCAGATCATAGTTGCTACGACTGTCCTGGAAGAAGTTGAGCGCCGAGTCTGATTGAATCATTATAAGAATATATTATAATATAATCCCAGCGTGTTTAGAAAGTCAAAACAAGATATTTCTGAACGTTTCGCTGTGTAGGCCATAGCTTCTTTGGTAGAATAAGCGGAAAATATACAGAAAATCCTCATATTCTACTAAAGAAGCTGTGGCTTACACAGCGAAACGTTCAGAAATATCTTGTTTTGATTTTCTAAACACGCTGGGATTATATTAAAATATATTCTCTTGATGTCTTTGAAGATTGTTTACCGGCGTGCCATCTACCTCTCACACCGTCCCACTGACACCAGGCTTCTTGTTACCTGTGGCTCAGATGAGCTGGAACAGCTCCCAACTATTGCCAGATGCAGCTGCTACTTTAATCTCACTCGCGCGTTCTGACTGCGAAGCCTCACGGCCCCTGCGTAAGCGTTTTGTAGTCTTTCGCTTAAGAGACTTGTGCGAACCATTAAACTCGCTATCCGCCGGAATGGTCCGACGGGCGTTCCGAAGTTGCAAGGAGCTCACAGAGACTTCATTAGCAAAACTTTCTTTCCAGCTGCAAGCAACTTTACTCACCATTTTCATTGCGTCTTGCAAGTACAGCCGTTACTCGTCTACACTTTTTGGAGGATCGGTAGGTAGGCTTGAATACAGCTCGGATTGGTATTTAGCTGCAATGTTATGTAGGTGCAACTAATTCGCTTGCATCGGCCTGTTTAGAATGACGATTTTGATCACCACCAAAACGCAAGACGTGCTTAACACATACCTAAGCATGACAAGAGTCCATATAGAGCAGCAGTCTTGTTTACATCCACGCCACCAGTAGCTGGTTGCAGTATGATCTATTGGAGTCCAGGCTTGAGTGGCGGAGGAGGATGCCAAGTAGCACAACGGTGATGACTGTGCCGGAAGTTGATGCCAACTAGAAACAG